CATGCATTTTTTTCTTGGATTTTTGCTATGGATGAGTTTTATTTATAAATATTTAGATATATACCTTTTTTTTTTCGAAAAATGTTAATAAGAAAAATAATAAGTCATTTGTGATGGCATTTATAACACCTAATGTACCGTCTAGCCGGTCTGCAACTTTCCTCTCCTCTCCGTCCTTTCAGAAAGCCCACACCTCCACTCGCTTTGCGTCGCTTCGATACATTCCCATGCAGGTGTAGGGCTTCTCCAGCAATTTCTCTCCTCTGTTTCTTATTCATCTCCCTTTTTCTGACAAACCCGAACGAATTTGGGTTCGCACGAGTTTGCTTTTCAGTATTCTTCCCATTCGTCCCTCCAAATAGGTGTACTGTGTTTATTGAATTTAACAAGCTTGCTAGAACGGTCTCGAAACTGACTGAGTAATTACGAGAAAATAAAAAAATCTAAAATGAACGTATCGTATATATAATATATAACTTCATGATATAAGATCAGGTACGTTTCGATTTTGACTTCAAAATAATGCGTATATAAAATATCTATCAAATATCAGTAAAGTGAAATTCAAATATTTTTTACTTATTTATATTTTGTATTAATAATTCATGTAAATCTTTTGACTGAAAGATTTGTGGTAGTGCTCAATTGATTTATGATTAACATACAGAGGCACGAGACAAAAAGATAGGGACACGCACAGTTACGGGGCGGGACTTTTTAGTGAGTCAGGACACGTAATTCAACGAGCTTCGATCATCCGGTGTCGATTTGGTTGAGGGATAAATAGGAAATACACACCTTGTACTCGTACTCAGAGATTGACAATTCTTATCCGTGTTGTAAAAAATATTCACTGATGTTCAATAAAAACAAAAATTTGTGTAATTATTCTACACGATTAATGATTTAAAAATTATATACATAAAAATGAATACTGAAAATTTTAACGCTATTAAATTTGATAAGACTACCAATAAAATGAACTTTAATATCTCAATAAACTAATAAAAATTAATGTTTTTTAAAATATTAGATACAAGTAAAACTCATTAGTCTAAAAGCAATTTTATCTAAAATAAAAATCTTTTCATTAAATTTATGCAATAGAGAAGATATAAAAAAAAAAGGGAAATGAGATATGCGAGACACATATATAATTAATATATAATTAAAATACGAAGCAATTTAAAAAACGAAAGTTAATTTAAAAAATATATAAAGATACTACTGTGTATGGTATCTTTATATTTTGTTGTCGATTATAACTTAGCAATTCATCTCACACTCCATTAAAATATTAATGGCAAAATAACGATGAGGTGACTAAACTTTCCTCGAAGTTTCTTGGTCTGACACGTCTCACATGGTATTTGCCATACGAATTCATATTTATGAGACAACATTTCTTCACGAGCACGCGAGGGAGCGAGAGCCGAATTTACCACAGTGTTACATTCGCGACGCAGATGCATTACGTTTTATGTGCAACGACACATAAGAAGCGCAAAACAAATCTCTCGCCATCGCGTCAATGTCAGGATAGACAATGGCTATTTGCATAAAACATTCTGAGTACCGACTGCCATCGATGGCAGCGTGTCGTAAACGAAGATCGAATGTTCGATCGTTTGACAATAGTGTTGGAGATTGTTATGAAAAAAGCAAATGGAAAGATTATGATCGTATAAATAATGGAAAATTCAAAGTACAATCGTAATAATTAAGATACTTAAATAAGGTTGTTTTACACTTTTTTCCAATATAATTAATTAATAATTACTAAAATAATTGTCTTTAATAATATTTGTTATAACAATTGATAGAAAGCAATTTTGAAAACTATTATATTTCTATCTATTGTTATCAGTCGCAAGAAAATTGTATAGGAATAAATCTTGAAGGATAAAATTTTATACGAATATCATAAAATAAATCAAGAGATTTATAATATATAAATCGCTTGATTTATTTTAAGCGTTAATCATGAATTATTTACGTCACGCGTTAAATAAGCTAATATTTAAAGTCATTAAGCATTCGCGACATAACATGTGGTCTCGTATTGCATGCCATACAGTAGTCTAAAATTAAGCAAATCAACGCGTGAAAGATACGGATCAAATATTGATTGTTGACCGACAAGTAGTAATGAATTACTACTTTCGAGCGATTTCAACTGTTTAATTATTTACGCGTGCATTACCACGTGGATTCTACGGTAATAAACAGAGTCACATCTGATTCACGCCCACCGAAAGTTAAATGACACACGATAAATCGGCCGGCTAATTATACGCAATTTACGCGCTTGAATTGCGTTATTACATGGTTGTTATTACGGCACAGTTAGTATACTGTTCGATTGATGTCCTACGCTCATAATCTGTGGCATTGCTTACGTTCTAATTGCTAATTGCGTGGGATATGTTTTCAATTTATAGGTAGGTTTCTACATAAATGCTGTAATATTATTAAACAACGTTAAGTATCCGTTTAATAGATTTAAAACAGTGGCAAAGAAATGAATATAAAACAATCTTTAAATTTATAGCGCTTCCTATAGATACATTGAATATCGCAAAAATAATACCAAGGATGAAAAGATGTTTTTAAAACTTTATAAAGATAAATTTACTTAATATACATTTTTAAAGCAGGACAATATAAACTGAAAATTACTTTAACGAGCATTAATTATAAAATAAAATAAAAAGATATTTCATAATATTTTTTATCCAGATAAAAGAGAGAGGAATAATTTAAATACAAATTTTTATAATTTAAATGTTATGTGGCATGACAGAAAATTTTCAGTGTTCCTACCGTTGTTATAAAACTGACACTTGTAAACTAACACTTGTAAACTCTTAAAAAACGAACAGGACAAAAATGAAACAGAAAATTTTTAAGTATTTAAATGGGAATCTTTCTCTCTTATTGCTATATAAATGTTTAGTTACCTCTCCACCTACAGACGTTTTAACTTTATCGATTCGTAATACTGATAAGTGCATAAACAATTATCAATAAACGTTGTGGATATATTATATGTTGCAACTGTTTAGAGAGCATAGTTTATTATCCATCGGCTTCTCGAATAGTAACATCTAAATATTTATAAGAATGATTCACGGATCGCGCAAGTTTAGAAAAAGGCACAGATCACTGAAAAATGCTCCTCGAAGTTGGATAAGATCAGATAAATGGGTGGGGGCGATGCGTCCGACGCGTATGCGTAGCCTCATACACGCGTCCGAAAGAGAATGGAAGGCGGGGGCGTTTAGTGGGGGGGCTTTAATGAGGATGCTGCTGATTATCCAATTCGTAAATTCTCGCTACATTTTGATCGCGCACGACGAGCCGCGAGTAACAAGGATGACTCGCACTGCCACTCAACACTATACATTCGTCCTAGAAAATTCCGATTTTCAGCGTGACGAAACTCACTTTCCTGCTCCATTATAAGTTAATTACTCGCCAGTTACTCGGATACGGTAAAACGACGAAGAAACAAAATAAAAAGAGAAAATTTTGTGTACAATACTAACTTTTTAATGAGAAATATTGCCGTTTAGCTTCTTAAATTTATCTTTATATATTATTTATGCGAATCCAATATAAATTTATATACCTATATATAATGCATGTAATGAAAAACAAATCATGTTATTGAAATTTCGAAATTTTCGAAAAGAAAAATGTTTTGTTTCAAATTAATGCGATAATACTTAAACTGACAAAATAATATTGTTTAGAATAATTTTCGCATATCAGAATTACAGTAAATTCCGATTGTTTTGTTTGATATTACTCAAGAGGCGCGATACAACATTCGTGCGATCTAATTGAACAAATCATATACGTGTGAGTGCAATTCACGTAGCAAGTACTCGAATTATGCAAGCGTCATCGAATATAAATGTACCTCTAACTATCTGGTCCGACATTAACACAACGCTACATATATCGAAATCGCAGTTGATCGTATTTCACGAGATGACGAAAGAGCTGATTTCACTGTTCTCCTCATTATCAGTTTGTCCCTTTTATTCCAAGAAATGCATCGATATTTTTATACAAAATGAAGAAATATCAGAAACCTTTCACAATATTTCCGAAATAGAAATATAAATGGCCGGTTCCCCTAATTAAAGAGTAAGGAATATCTGTACATGCACCATGTACTTTTAGATGACAAATAGCTTTTAAACTTGACAAAATCATTCACACGTCCGCGAACAGTAAGTCGCTTAATGAGAATATTAAGCTGGACGATTATTAACGCTGTCTGGACACTCTCGTAAATTTTTCTCACGCCATTCGTATGCGCTATATTAACAAGACGATAAAATATTCACCAACAACTACAATCGTATTGTGTGAATAATTGTAAATGAAATTTGAAAAAATATTTTCTTCTTTCAAAAATTTTCAAACAAATTGCAAAATATAATATTGATTCACAAAAAGTACAGCTTTGATAATTTCATATTGACATATATATTGACAATGCAAGTCATATTTCTTTGTCTCAAAGTGTCCATCCAAAAATTTTTTCAAAATATATTATTTGCTTGTTAATCATAGAAATTATTACAAATGTAATATAATCGTAACATAAATTTAATTTATATTATATCTGAATAGTCAATCTCTGTCAAAGATAATGTCAATTATTAATCCTAAATATATTTATAATCTAAAATCTAAATTTTCCAAATTGCGTGTCAAATAAATATGCACGCAAGAGAAAATATATACAGCTGTATTTGTCCAATTTAATTCAATTTTCTAGTTTTTAGATATTTCATAGTTTAATTAACCGATGATTTTTATTAACTCACGTGATAACGAAGCATAAAGAAAAAAAATATATATATATATATATTTATATAAAATTAAACATTTGCAGTATTTTTAGACGCTTGGTGTCTAAATCTCTTAAAAGCAATGTTTCTCGAGCGATTAAGAAGATAAGCATGGGGATTGGAAAGACTCACCTAAAGAGCTTTCCGGATCAGAGAGGTCCGACAAGGAAGGCACCTTCTGCATCGAGGTAACTCTGCCAGGGAGAGCCGGCACCAAACCTTCTTCTTCGGCGTCGGAGGTCATCTCTTGCTTCAACAACTTCGCCATCACCGTCAACATACCGCTACCGTCGGTGATGCCATTGGCTCCCAGGAAGCTGCCCATGCTTCGAACGTCGCGCTAATAAAATATATATCGTTAACTCGCGCTGACACGCCCGCCTTTATCTATGTAAAAAATTTCGTTGTGACATATGTGCGTATTTTTTACAATAAAGTGCAGTAACATGTTTTTGTCGAATGTTTAAATTTAGCATATTCATTTAAAATTGTTCAAAGTAAGCAAGTTTCGATGTAAAAGGAACAAAGTTCATGCAAACTTTGGAAAAGAGGAAATCTGTATGTTTGAAAAGTAAGAAAAGCAAATTAGAGAGATAACCAGTTAGTCACTAAAGGAGGAAGCAACGTGCATGCGTTATTCGTTGAGGAAGAAAGGGATAAAGAGGGGACACTCAGCTTGGAGCGGAAAAAGAATGGAGAGAGTGCTCGTGCTGGCGATAGTCACGACTCGCTTGACCTTCGTATGAAAGACTCTAAGTTGAATGAAATGTCGCGATGGAATGACGTAACAGCGTGTAATGCGCGTGATCTAGTACTACGAGGAATCAATGAACGTAATTCGTACGGAAGAAATTAAACTTGAATATATTTTTTACCGATCAATTTAAAAAATTATTTTGATGAAGAAAAAAATAATATCATTGGATCCTTGATTGGACTATATTATTCGAAATTATCAACTATTATAGATATTAAGTCGCGCGATTTTTAAAATTTTTCCCAAATTAGTATAATAGTAGTGTTTAGTTATAATTAATAATATTTGTTAAAAATTTAATAAAAAATGAGCGATAATAAGAAATAAATAAAAAAACTCGCTCGCTTTCTTTCTTTTTCTTCATAATTTTTAAATATCTATATATTATAATATATAATTTTTTCTTTAAATCTATATGTAATTATTATCAATAATATACATTAATTAATATATAACTTATAATTATTTTTTATAAGTGTAATATTATTTTATGTGTGCACGAACATAATAATTCATCTTTTTCTTATTGCACTACCATTTAGATGGATAATACAAATGATAAGCAAAAACGATCCTAATAATATATGATTAAATTCAAACTTGTACATTGATCATTCTGTATTATAATTATTTGTTAAATTATCAGTGATAATAAGTTCACAACACGCGTATATATATATATATATATATATATGTAGACAAATAGAAAGCGGTTAAAGATCCTGAGTCTTGTCACGTTCTATTCCGCTATCTTTCTTCATCGTTCTTCTCTCTTTCTATGTTTACGTATCTATTCACTTATCTCTTCCTCTTTCGTCTTCGGTATTTGATGCTAAATGGAGATCTATTCATCGCAAGTCAATAGTACGTGACCGAGTCAACCATTAATAGACAAGTCATCTATGACGATGGTATCTCTCAGATGCGACCGAGCGAGTGAATTGTTGAGATCATTATCTTACGACAAAATGAACGAATGGTATAATGTGTACAATTGGCAATCGTGGTTTCTTCACTAACATTGACCGCGGCCTTCCTTATAAATCTTTACACAAATTTTTATCTCGCCAAGATTAAGGCCAATACCAGGAATGATAATATTGATTATCGTGAACTTAACAGATTATACAAACGTATCTCGTATTGAATTATAAATTTTTCAATCTGTCTGTAATCATGTTTTTGATTCTCCATCTACAGTTGGATCTTTTTTGTTCAACCCAAATTTTTGTTCTGTTTTAAATTTTCAAAAAAATGTGGAAAAAAATTCAAAATTCATTACTTTTCACAACATCTCTCTTACATTACCAAATATTTTGGATGCGAGATATTTTAGGAAAAAGAACTGAACTCCCCCTTCTTGCAAAATTCAACTCAACAAATTGCAAATAAAAGTTAAGAGAAATTTGCTTATTCCGTATTAAGTATAATAAAGTCTTTACTAAAAATCGCAGTATAAAATTTATGGTATTACGAGATGAGAAATATCGGCGGAGAAGTACTCGATAATATTTACGAGAGAAATCGCGGTTCGTTATCATGGAATTTCAAGAGCCGGCACGCACGATCGTTTTTCGCCATGGCAAAAATAGAGTTTCAGAAGTATTCTCGATAATAGTCCTTTCAGACATGTAAATCTATTCGGGCCACGCAGCGAGGAGGAAGAACAAATCAGCAAGAGCAGCGCGCTTCGAGAATATCGCGAGATAAGTTACGTTCATCGAACACGATTGGGAAACTGCATTCATTCAGAAATTGCATTATCAATTTGCGATTACTTGGTTTTTTCTTTATAAACGCGTGAACTTTGCATAATTTTATATAATCCATCCGTTGAAGACTTTTAATTTATATCAGACGTAGTATAACCCAACGGATGTAAACTGTTTGCGAATAATACATGATAAGCTTGATACAAATCTATAAATTTTACTTGCATAACAAAGCGAGTTAAAAGACAGATATTGATCAATAGAACGTGAAGTATCCGAGGTCGTGAGAATATATCTCGATATTTTTATCGAGATTTAAACTGTGGTCCGTACCTTTCAAAACACTATGATGTTTTAAAGCAAAATCTGCAAATATTTATCATTCTGCGGTAAAAGAATATTAGAAATAAGAAAACCGAAAATGTAGAATAAATAAAAATAAAATTATAATAATACTTTTAAAAATCAAAATAATTTTTTATTTCAATAAGCAATATTTGGTAATTTTTTGTCTTTTAAAGTTATCGATAAAAGACGATAGCACAGGGCGATAATATTATAAATACAAGGCATGAATGACGATGTTTAGGTTCGTATCCGACAAACATTTCTTTCACATACGTTTTCGTTTATGGCGAAGGTTTCTCTGTATCCGATATTCCAGGTAAGCGGACCACACACCGTAACGTTTTAGTAGCAAATTCTATCGATGAATGGAGCATCATCTTGGCACAAACGTTATCCACATCGTGCACGCGCGACATTTCGAGTCGAATGATAAGATAAATTTTACATTGACATCAAACGTGAAGTGTAAGTTGTTTGTCGCCGATTTTGCTTTTAATAAATCAGTCAAATATCCGATAAAATAAATAGAAATAAGAAATATAGAGAAAGACATGAGTTAATGGAGCAGATAAATAAATAAATTTGATAATAAAATAAATGAAATTTAATAACGAAATAAAAAAAAATGTAATATAGAAAATTTGGATCCTCTTTATTTTTTATTCTCCTTAATTTTTCCTATAAATGATTTATTTTCTTGGCACAAGTATCTTTTTTGTTCGTTTAAAATCATATTAAAGAGAAGGGTAATCATTTCGATTGCTACATAAATTTAATACCGATTTGATATATGTCACGGCTGGAATGCTAATATTGCTCGTCACTGACTGTAATTTATGCTAATATCTATGTCATGTATGCGTGCAATTACATCCATATTGCAAACATGCATTTAACCAAAGAGTACGAACAATGTAATTCAAGTTAATACATTTCACATATCGCGGCAATGGTATCGCACGTTCGTTACGTAATATTTACGAAAGCAATGACGACAATGTAGCGACAAGTTTCTATGCGATGTTTTATCTTAGATCGCGTCGCACCGATAAATAATTGACTAACGAAGTCGTTAACAAAGCGTTAACAAAGCCGTTCGTTAATGAACCCCGCGCATGAGCAAGTGCCTTTAATGGCGACCGTATAGAAATTAAATCTACAATGTTAAGAATGCAAGTGAGTCAACGTGCAAAGTGCATAGCCGATCAGATAACTAACTACCTGAACAGAAAAAAAAGATAAAAGGGCCTCACGCGACGTTGGTCCCTTGTAACTTCTTTCTTAAAGCTTTGTGTCCACGATGCTAGAAATCAGTCCAAGAATTCGGACAGAGAAAGAATGAACAAATCTCATTTGAACAATTTGAGCAAATTAAACAAATCACACAATTAAACAAATCACATGACCATTGCGACCAATTTTTTTTTCATCTTTGAATGAATAAAAAATCTCAAGATCTTGACTGATTTCTAGCATCGTGGACACAAAGGTTTAAGGCGGAAACATAAAAATTTTTATATTGAAAATGGAAAAATTTTTCACATTTTCACATTCTAAAGAAAAATTATGCATGATTACTATTCAGACAAGAGATTTACGCCCGATACGTGGTGAGATAGATATTCTTATTATTTCAGCATATATTGCATGTAAAAATAAGATAAAATTAAATTGATGGGCGTGTCATATTAAAAAAAAAATGACAACGCAGCTAAGGTTTTCTCGATTAATCGCTAACTTCAATCAGGAATTTCAACAATTAGCATCGTGCTTTTATCATGACGTGATTGTATAATTATTATTAAACTCTTAAGTCATTAAAATCCAATATTACATCATTAGTTCATGGAATTATAAAATTTTTATAAATATTAGTTAGATTTAATTGATATTTGAGTAATTCTCTGTTTTTAAATAGAAATTTAGAGGTTTTTAAATAGAAAATTATTAAAAAGTAGAGTTTTGCGTAAATCTTAATTTAACTAATATTTACGGAACAATTCTCTATACTCTACAGAATCATTCTATTTTATACTAAAAATTATATATATAATAATGTAAGACAGAAAAAAAATTACACGTAATATAATACATTAAATCTATTATGGTAGATACAAATATTATCACTTCGCGAAAGAATCATATAAACTGTATGATAAAATTATATTTAAAAAAAACAGAAAACAATAATACTTGCTTATGAAAACTAAATTTATTCTTGCGTTGGATTTGTTGGCCTGGATATCTTATCGATTACGCTGATTAATTAATCGGTCAGACGTTGCTACGATTATATCCACCTCGAATGCAAGCGAAATTAAATTAAAGAACAGCTCATTCACGACTTACATTAATAGCTTATCGGAAAAATCAATGCCACAGCGTTTCTCTTGTTTGTAGTATCGACTTTGAGTTAATATTTAAAAAATAATAATTGCATTGTTTATGTAAAACCGTGATTACATTGCTTATGAAACCCAAATATTTTCGTTCCAAACTTGTGATTTATGTATGTATAAAATTTCCATCGATAATCAAATTATATTGTATTTAAATAATGGAGCCGCATCAGGTTGTGATGGTCGTGTCTATCACATATGATATTATATTTCACAGCATTCATGCCAATAATCAATAATTCAATATTTGGCAATATAAACTAATGGAAAATAAACTCTACATAAATCTCAAACAGAGAACATGTTTCGCAATTAAATTATAAATTCGAATAGTTAATATGTAAAACAAATACGTCTATAAACAGATATGATTGTATAAGGTTCAGACTTTATAATGAGAATAATAATAGTAGAAATATATCGTGCATGCAACGAAGGAAACGGATGAACCGCGCCCACACTTAATTCAAGATCGATGGCTTCTAAATTTTCAGTCATTAAATTAGCTAGACAACCTATCATTAAAACAATCATAATCATAGTCTACTTTAAGCGTTAAAAAATTGTGTAACAAGAAAAATTAAAATCTAATTAAATGAAAAGAAAAAAAATAACAACAATAACAAATACGTGAATGGAATTAACATTAATAATCAATTACAATGTTTAACATGTTAAATTGTCTTTCGTGTTGTCTATTCAGTGATGAATATACGGAGAAAATTCAGATTCGAAGGCGAAAGCGTATAATGACGCAGCATAATTGAGGTTTAGGGTACAATGAGCGAAAAAGTCGCTGGCGTTACAGTAAAAAATTTCATGATCGAAACAGCGAGGAACAAAAAGGATGAGAGTAGTGTTAAGTGTGTTATGAAGAGCTGCGTCGCAGCATTTTACAAATAATCCGTTAAACAGAACTAAAATTACATTGTCCCTTTATATCTTCTTGCCGCTACGCATACAGAAAGCAAAGAACGGACAGAAGGCCAAGAATGGAAGACGTGGGACGCAAATGCACTAGCTGCGAGGCGCACGAGCCACGTGGGTAGCATGTAACAAAAATATTATAACGAACGATGAAAGGCAATGTAATAATAGCGTTCGATGTTTAATAGACGGGAAAAAGTAAAAATACACGAGACGTCGTATATAAAATATAGGTAAACTAGATCAGTCATGTCTCCCATCCTTCTCTGTGTCGAATAAAAGTGAAATATAAGTGTAAAATATGCAGCAAGAAAGATCTACAGTAACGCGACTGAAACTACGTTATGGCTTTACTGCTTTTGCTGTCACGTGGAAAGTAAAGGAAAAAAAAGCCGAAGAACGAGAATGGTGTGTAGGATGATGAAGTTGCCGCATCGTCGTTGTGCAGCGAGCAAATGTATGACGTAGGCAAGACGAGCAACGGTGCATGCGACTAGAACGACCAGAGGAGCATGCAGAAGGTCTGGCTGATGCGGGAAGGGATGCTATTTCTGGCGGCTTCGGTTTCCCTTTCTCCTCCCCTATGCGTCGCATTTCCTCCCGCGCACGACGCCTCTCCACGTCTTGTTTCTCTCAACTGGTACACTGGATTTCTCCATTTCTATATACGATCAAAGTCGTATCAACGATTCAAGTCGTGTGATCCATTTGATATTCGGAATCATATCGCTCTTGTCATTCTACTCTTTTTTTTATCTCTAGCAGTCGCATTAAAATTAATTATTCACATTAATTTTATTTTATTTACAAACGGTTTGACAAATACTGATTAAAGTTAAATATTATTTAACTTTTACTGATTCAATATAATTTCTAAAAAAAGAGACAAAAGATAAATAACTTAAATAATAAACTTCAACTAATATTTATTGTAATATATGCGGCACAAAAGCTAATTTTTATATAAAATCATAAAAAATCCTCAATAATAAAAAATTAAGAAGTTTATATAATAAAGAATTTTTTTATTTTTCATCTTGATTATGCAAATATCAAGTTATTCAATACTGATTTTTTTCAACATTGAAAATTTAACGAGTATTTATTATCAATGTATTCATGTCAAGAATCAACGTATCTAACTAACCCAAAATTGATTAACGTAAAAAAATTCATGATAAAAGAATCTATATAATTATATAAAGTTGTAAGAAAACTTAATCTGAAAGAGTCAAATAGTTCAGTAAACTTTTACAGAGATTCATAGACATAATAGGCCTACGAGGACGTTTTTAGATCACCGCGAGCTTCTTGAGAAGTTAATCGGTCGAAGAAACCAAGACTCGGGTCTCGACTGTTGTTCGATGCTGCTTCGCAGCGTACGAATCAGCGGCAACCAGACGCGTTTGGCTTCGCTGAGCGACGGACAGAGAGCCGGGGAGAAAAGAAGAGGAGGTACAGAGAAGAGAGAGAGAGAAAGAGAGAGAGAGAGAGAGAGAGAGAGAGAGAGAGAGAGAGAGAAAGAGATGACGGAGGTAGAGGGCAGAGGCGAGACGGACGAGGGTCAATCGGTGACAGAGAGATGAAGGCTGAAGGCGCGTGGGGGGATAGCGGGGAGAAGAACGAAAGGAGGGGAACCGAGTGCCGGTTCTACGTTCATTCATAAAACGAAGGCGGAGAGCGACAAGGAACGAATTGTTAGTGGCACTCGCACAATCACCAGCTCGGCCAACGCGCTCTCCGCTTGCCAACGCCGTTGAGAGCGAGGAATATCCATGAAGCGTCTCACGGGGTTGCCATTGCTTGGACAGTTATTCGACAGTTTTAATTTATGGCTTATATAATTGATAAAAGATTTATATAGATAATCTCGTAAGCTCTTGAGAATCATCGATTTAAAACGAGCATATAAGACATGTCTGTTGGCATGCTAATTACTTTAACGTAATATAATAAGTAATAATTTTGAATAATTTTGAATATAACTTTGTACATCTTGAATATACAATTTCGTTATAATTGTAATTAATTTTAGTACGAGACTCGGATAATTACATAAGTATTATAAATTTTATTATTATTGATTTATATTTCAGAAATATATGAAGATGAAATACTTTGTTCGTTTATCTAAATTTTCGAGTGCCAATCACGGAAAAGTGATTAAAATAACAAATATGAAACAAAATTGATACATTTTTTTTTACTTATTCTATTGTGTATCATTATTGTGTATATAGAAATGCTAATTTACCTTTATAGATCTATGGTCGATGGGATAGCCGCTCTTTCTGGTTCCAGGACTTTCTTCGTAGAAGTCCTGTTCCTCTTCATAGTCGTACAGAGATTCCATGTCCATCTTGACTGTAAAAGAAATTACTTATTAATTACAAGGTATCAAAGCAAACTAATCACTGATATATAAATATATAATATTATCCAAATTATACCGTGTGAATGTATGCAAGAAAATATGGATTAAATTTTCGGGCTTGCGGCTTTGCCTGGATCACATGACACGACGTCCCAATTATAATTTTATACCGACTTCGCCTGCTTGGCACGATATTCTGGTTCGCGAGATACATTTATTTATCAACCATTAAATAGTTCACTTTTAGATACGCGATCGATATCATCCGGTAAAGAACGAACCGTGGTAATATGAATGAAGCGAATATTTTAATAAGTAATTATATCTCATCATCCTTATTTATTCTGCTAATGCAGTAAATATAAAATATTCTAGGAGTTTCGATTTTAACTTAAATAATTGATTCTTAAACAATCTATAAATCAATTTTTTTTTATTTTCAGAAAATATTATTTAATATTATATGGTTTAAGTTTTTCGTTACTCAAGTAATAATTTAGCAATTAGAATTAATTCAAATGGATTTTTTAAATATAGACGGCAACAACAATTATATTTCTATTTTTGTTTAAACAATATGTAAATTTAATTTAGTTCAAAATTTTTTGAATTTTTTGAAATTTTCTTTAGACTTTTTATTTAAAGGAGAATTTGTTTAAAGGTAAAAGTTTAATGAAGAAGTTAAACTTATGTATTAATTGGAAGGAAACTATTGTTTCGTATGGAGCGATGTAAAGTGTAAGAGGTATTCGAATCCGCGACGAAGATCAGGTTACTCCGGCTGGAACCCCAGCCGCCAGATGGTAGACGGAAAACTGTTGAGCTACCTCGACTCTCACGACCCTTTACACGCAGCTAAAATATGTCTACAAGAAGTTTCAAAAATGTACGAACGGTAAAACATGGAGCTTCTTTAAGGCATGGGAAAAAGCATGGATTTTCGAAAATCATTTCTATCTAGGTTTTCAATTTATCATTCATGCAAAAAATGATACTGTTTCGTAAATACACTTTAAAAACATCGTTCAATATAATCGCATTATTTATAATATTATACGCACTCTTTATAATATTACACGCTATCATTATTCATAAACTTCATTTCGTTGTACAATAACAACTATTTATGTGACTTACCTCCTAATGCAACAAATACAATTCTTGAAAAAGATATTAATTTCAAGATTATAGATGCCCTTTGTAATTAAAGCTATTATATTAAACGTGATTAATAATAAACATAACAATAAATGTGAGACTCTTAATAGCTCAGTGATATAAATTCAACTAAATGAAATAATTGCTTAACATCAGATTGATAGAACTTATCTCGTGAATTTATCTGCACCCCTGCCGGGAAGTTCGATGGCGATAAAGAAAGCTAATTAAAGCGGATTAGCTCATTTGCTTTCGTAATTATCTTCATCCATAATTATCGCACGACAGTGATTGATATTTTGAAGATAATGTTCTTTGATAAAATCTTACTTAGCAGAAATTATTACATAGCAAGTTTTCTTAAACATAGTTTAAAGAAAAATAATAAATCATCACATCTTTTATCTAACAATGTGAATAGCAAATGTTATCACGAGAAAGTTAAGATTAGTTTCAAAATTCTCCATCTATGCGTAATATGTTTGATATGAAAGCATGTTTGAAGCTTATAGTGATGCATTTCGATATGAGAATTTCGGAATGTCATCAGAATTTCTTCTTATTTTTAAAATAAGTTATTAAAGTAATATTTCCGAGATTATATATCATTTGTTTTTCTTCTCTCATCTCGTCTTGACATTTTTATCTATAACAGTTATAATTATATAGTGTCTCACAACTACCGTATTTCCTCTTAAGACATATTCTTGAGATAATTTTGAGACGACGAAAATCCTAATACGAAAATGTCAAGACTACATAATTTTTTTAAATTATAAATTAACTTTAAATGCTTGTAAGTAAATTTTATTTTTATTTTCTCTATTATTATTTTTGGATTCTTTTGAACATTCGAAAATCTTGACATGAAAATATCGTAGTTTTCGAATTACACATTATCTTTAACCAATTATAATTCAAAAACTATTGTAGCTTCGACATTTTTGTATTAATTTCTCGTTTCAAAATTATCTCAAGAATACGTTCTTAAGAGAAAATGCGGTAGTTGTGAGACACCCTGTATGTGCTGCTTGATTATATAAAATATAAATATTTGAAATAAATGAAACGAGATAGACAATATTCTCGAATGTCTCGAGATAAAATTCGGGAATCTTGAGAAGCGAGAATATCGGCCCATCAAGACGAGAAAAATTGTATCAATTATTTGTTTTTATCAAACCTAAATCTCGATATCGATATTTACTCGTCTCATCTCGCTCGAATGCATTACTTTAGCTTACTGACTTCTTTATTTGTTGAGTATATTCCATTATCATTCAGATATTTATCTGCAGCATAGCGAAAGATATCGTGTATATTCTCAGAAATTATTTATTGTGAGTAGTAGTAAAGACAAAGAAGAAAAAAACGATATTATCACTGAATGATCTTCGCTATTTCTAAAAGTTCCAAAAAGGATCATGTAAATACGCGAAGTAATTGATAATATCATCATATTAATAAAATGAAATGTTACGTAATGTTAATTAGTGAGGTTAATTATTACTGCAATAATGCACAATAAAGTTAAAAATAAAAAATACTCTTATTTCATATATGTACCAATATATTTT